GGTTATATTGCATTGTAATCTCCACCTAATTGACGGCTAATGTTAATTGCTACATAAATGCAGTAATTATCTTTTTAAAAGTAGCTTTTTTTTAAATGCGTAAAAAGTATGGAGTAAAATTCTATGGTACAAGTATGCAACTGTATTTTTTTTTAAAAAAATTTGGGCCCCTTTCTAATGTGGGCCCTAGGCGGTCGCACTCGAGGCCTACCCCTCAGGGTCAGCCCTAGGGCATTGCACGTCCCTTGAAATAGTATATGCATAGCGTCAGCACACAACGTTTATTTGTTTTTGTGACTTGTTATTCTTATAGCATTTGCCATATCCTTTTCATTATCTCACAATTTAATTTTGGGACGAAGCTTTTATTAACTGTACTAATATTTACTACGTAACTCGTAGAAAACTCTACACAAATTAGTATCTCTATAACTAATTAATTAGCCTACGTTTGCAATCGTACAACACGTCTAGCTTGCACGTTACTAGCTACAATAAAATTATCTACCAATATTTTTACTCCGATAAGATGGCATAGTAGTACTCTCTACTCCATATGGCGGTGAATTCGAAAGGTTTTGTAGCTACGGATGGTTACAAAGTATGCCCTCAAGAGAGCTACAAGGGTCAATGATGTAGACGAGAATTGATCTGATCAGATATTGAATTCCTCAAGACTTTGATCAACTAAGCTAATTATCGATCATCCATTAATTTGGAATTCTTGACTTAAGTGGCTAAATGGCGTGGATAATATCATAAGTTTGGAATACTTATAATTTTATCAATTAATTGTACTGTTTGTACATTTTCTTGATGCTTGTCATTCTTTAACTTTGAATATTCTACCTCGGAAAATAATGCCGCCACCCTTACAAAGAAATTTAAGCATCTCCCCCGCCCCCCCCCCCCCCCTATAAAAACCCCATAAACCATGCACTACTCATCAAAAATAACTTATTATCAACTCTCTATAATAAGTTAAGTAACAACTAACCCTAAATATATGTTGTCCAAAAACCTAATATTTGCTTGCTTAATTTTTGCAACCCTAGCCCTTGCCCATACGTGCTATGCACAAAACTCACCACAAGATTATGTTAACGCCCACAACGCGGCTAGGGCCGCAGTGGGCGTTGGAAACATACAATGAGATAACCGAGTGGCGCAATATGCCCAACAATATGCCAACCAAAGGAAAGGTGATTGTGCTTTGCGACACTCCGGTAGTAAACAATATGGGGAGAATATTGCCACCGGTAGTGGTGCTTTTCTGACTGGCACAGCCGCGGTAAAGTTGTGGGTGGATGAGAAAGCCGATTATAACTATAATTCAAATACTTGTGCTCCTAATAAGGTGTGTGGTCATTATACTCAAGTGGTTTGGCGTAACTCGGTTCGTCTAGGATGTGCTAGGGTTCAATGTAACAATGGAGGTTATTTCGTTACTTGTAACTATGATCCTCCAGGCAATTGGGTAGGCCAGAAACCTTACTAAACTTTTCCAGAAAATTGTATCTCTTTTAAACCTTTCGTTTAACTTCGTGTTGCTATAATAAAGAGAGAATTGGAATAAGCTCACTAGATCTTTTTAGTGATATTCACTTAATTATATATATATGTGGTACTCTGTATTGTTATGTATGTAAGGTTTGTTATGAGAGATACAAATGAATAAATGAAGTATTCTTAATTTTTAATTACATTGCATGGTGTATAGTAAGTCATTTGCGGGTGTAATTGTATATTTCACAAATTTAAATAATTAAGACCCTCTAAAAGTTTGTACCAAGCTAGCTAGAAATACTTTAATCCAAGAAATATAAATTGATCGACCAGAATTAATCCCTTTCGACCTGATACTAAATAAATTAAATAATGTATGTATTTTAGCTCACTAGAGTATTGGTTATGGTACTCATTAGTGTATTGTATATGGATGTGAAGATTAATCGAAAGGATAGCTGTATAGGACCATCCTTTCGTTAATAACTCCAATCGATGTGTGCTGTGATTTATTTTAAATGAATATTTATTTATTTTATTTTTATTCTATTTTGACAAGAGATTTGTTTTAAATGAATATAGCTATAGCAATAACCCTTTTTGTTTTGTACTGCATTGACAAGCTGCCACAAGCATGAACTCCATATGTAACGATTATACAATATGTTTTAAAATGTAAGAAGTGAAACAATGTAATTTCGCATAGTAAGTTAGTAACAATATTGAAACGGCCAAACATTTCCTAGCTTCTTTCTTGGGTGATAATTTGATATAATGAAAAAAGTTTGTAATAGTTTATCCTGTTTATTAAGCATATGTAAAAAAAAATAAAAAAAAATAAATAAAAAAATAAAAAAATAAAAATAAAAATCTGATAATGATGCCTTCTTGACTAGCCTGTTCAGCTATTGAAAGGGCCTCATGGAAGTCATGCATGCATCTAGAAAACGTGTAACTTGGGGAAAGAATATATATTTCTTACCCGTTTTCTATTTTTTTTTTTCACAAATCTTCTACTCATATTCTAAAGAATGTTAGGGGGAAATATTGCAATTAAGTAGCCGCCTCAGTTAGTTATTTTACCACGACAAATGAATATAAAAAAAATTAAATTCAAAAGAATTTTGATGTAACAAGTAAACAATTTAATCAAAGGTTTGAATTTCATTTTGAAGTTGTCATACTTGGTAATTTTCAATTAACTGGTAGTTTGTAAATGTTTATAATTTGTTTTGATCAATTTTTTTTAGGCCGCGCTAGTTGAATTAAAAATTGACAATTCTATCTTAATTAATGAGACTAAATAGAGGTGGGGGTAAACGTGGATAAAATGACAATGGAATGAAATTTTCAAACAGTCGAACACCTTCAAGTAGAAATTGTATTCTTACTCGTACTATTTTTTATCCAATCTAATGTTTCTAAAACATCTATAGTCCTTATTTTCCCAAAGATATGTGGTCAACACACTCATCAGCAAAGTTTCAATATCATACGTCTCAAAAGAAAGTCTTGCAAATCAACAGTTTTGGGTCATAATTATAACAAACGACTTCTTCTGTTTTTATTATTTACTTTCGAAACACAAATTTGACACTCACTTTAATGATGAAGATATATATTAGACTTGGTAAATAAATAAATTAATTGAATTTTTTTTATTTACAACCCATATTAGAAAAAAGCGTTAAGTTATTACACTTTAAGTTCAGAGATTAATTTGTATGCTTATCTTTTTTTAATTAATCACTTAATGTTCTAAGAAGATGTATGTATGTGTTACATACACTTTATAATTTGTACAGTATATATAAAAGAACAGATCAGAGGAAATAATGTATAGTCTTTAAAATTGGCCTGGAAAAAATAAACATAGCCCTTAGCTCTTGGGGTATGTACTATATGAAGCTATGGAGTAAAAAAGGGAAATATTAAAGATAGATTAACATTAATTATACTGATTTGCACTGAATTTTCATCTTTATTCCATTATAAAAAGTATAGTTAACGCCTATATGTAGCTCTTAGGGGTTGCCTGGAATGGGTGTAATGGGAGGGGAAAAAATACATGAGTAATAATTCTGGATTTTTTTTGAGTTTGGATCTAGGGTAATTAATTAGTGGGGTAATCTATTCCCCTAGAAAGGGGATTAATAATTACCCACCCCCCCTAGCATAACTATTTCCCCTGTAAAAAAAGCACTCTTCTCTGCTAATCTGCTATACTGCATCTTCCTTCTCCCCCGCTATATACTATCTCCTTCACCTCCATATCCCTCCGCCCAATAGAAGTTGTTGGCCGCCATTATAGCCGCCTGATGGAAGCAGCTGCTAGCCGCCGCCATAACTCATCAATTCCGGCGAATTACGAACAAGTTTCTGAATCGAAGCCATTGGTTGAAGAGAGAGTTGAGCAGAAGGTTAGGGTTTTTGATCCTTCAAGTGAAGCGATGCTCGTGGTGGTCGTCTCAAATTTATCAACGACATGGTGGGTGCCGTCGATTGCCATGAATTAGTGGTCTTTACCTCAGGATTGTTGCCAAACCTTAGAAAATGAATTATTACTCTCTAAATCAATACTCAAGTAGAATCTACCCCATTAGATATTACCCCCTTCATAATTTCTGGAATTCCAGGCATGCCCTTAGGGTTAATATATCAATACCTATCCTTAAAAATTAAATAACTTGTAACGAAAGTTTCATCTTTCTATGTAATGCTTGTTCATTAAATTTTATAAAAGCTAAATAAATTTAAATACTACTCTATACTACATATTCACGACATTCCCTTTTCAAAGTCAAAGCTCATAAAAATCAACTATACCTATTCCTCATTTCTCTAATAAACTGAAGGGTTTTCCAGTATAATAATTGGCATTTGTTAATGTATATGTGTGTATAATATCAAATATGGAGTACTACGGAGTACCAATCCTTATTAACGTATGATTTCTACCAATTACATACTTATAACAAAGAAAGCTTGTTAATTTATTTAATTTATATGGCAGAGTTTGAAACATATTTGTTTATTTCCGTGATTTTCCTTTAATTAATTTGTATGGTCTCGTTGAATTGATCATTCCCTAGACTCCATTCATAGTGCATACCTTATAATTGAAGCATCCATGCAATACCTTAAGTACAAATTAAGGATGAAATTGACTGCAAGTGGATAGCCTATCAAAAGTGCCAAATATTGAAGCAACATATAGAATAGTAGAGTACGTAGTAATAAATTTGGATATTTTCCATATTTACGTATAGATTTGCGTTGCATTTGTGCGTTAACTTTATCTTATTTTATATGATTTTCTATATTTGAAAAATTTAGTTCAAGTTGGTTCATTGGTTTTGATGCATTGGATCAATCTTATCAACTAATTTACCGAATTGAGGAGTACGATATAGGTAAAGGGTTAAATAAACAAGTGTTTGACCATCAACTTATCTACGCCAATTTACCTTTTTCTAACTATAAAAACCTTACATTACATACATAATTTTTCACAAACATCTCATCAATAAATCTTGATTTGATAAATATTTTTTAACAACTCAAAATGAACTTTTCAAAAACCTTCGCATATGTTACATGTTTCATTGTCATAACCCTAGCCCTTACTCAAAAATGCCATGCACAAAGTTTACCACAAGACTATGTCAATTCCCACAATTCTGCTAGGACCGCGGTGGGTGTTGTGAACATACAGTGGAATACCACATTGGCTACCTATGCCCAAAATTATGCCAACCAAAGGATCGCCGATTGTGCTATGCAACACTCGGGTGGACCTTATGGAGAAAATATTGCCGCAGGTAGTAGTGCATCCTTGACTGGCACGGCTGCAGTACAACTATGGGTGAATGAGAAGGTTAATTATGACTACTACTCCAATACTTGTGCTCCTAACAAGGTGTGTGGACATTATACTCAAGTTGTTTGGAGTAATTCGGTTCAACTTGGATGTGCTAGGGTTCAATGTAATAACGGTTGGTATTTTGTTACTTGTAACTATTATCCTCGAGGTAATTACGTTGGCCAGAAACCTTACTAAACTTACCATATGGAGCTTGTTAAATTCTACCAATAGGTGAGATTTATCTCACTAGAGTATGTGGTATCAAGCTGTTTATTAATTATTAGCTCACTAGAGCATTATATATGTAACGCTTGTCGAGAGAAAATTAAATTAAATAAGCATGCTTGATGTACATGTACTAGCTACATGGATTCAAGTCATGCTGAAGTTATTACTGTTGTAAGAACCTGATTTATAATTAATCAATTTTAATTACTACGTTTAATTGTTTCCTCTTTTGTTATTTTTATACGTACTCTTGGGTGTATGTAAGTTCTTAATTTGATTATGTATTAGTAAAAATTCAAAAAAAAAAAACAAATTTAAAGCAATTATTGAGACAAATCATACATGATGTAGCTTCAAAATGGTACGGTACACTTATAAATTTGGGGATAAATGTAATAAGTATAATTAATACATATAATAATACATGGATCGATTAAATTATGATTGGCTGGAATATTGAACAATTTACTATTTTCACGAATCTTATAATGAGTACGTAATTATTCTTCGATATAGTTGTACACTTGTACTACTTTAATCCAAAAGAACCATATCACCATATCGATGATTAATACTAGTTCAGTAGTTCAAACAGCTTTATCAATTATCATGGTGACCATATATGATTGTTACTTTAGACATAGGAGTAGTCCTTAATTAAAATATCAGAAATCGGCCATAATTAAGACCATATATGATTGTTACTTTAGACATAGGAGTAGTCCTTAATTAAAATATCAGAAATCGGCCATAATTAAGACCATTTTAATCAATCTTTCTATTTGTGTTAGCTATTTGATCACTTAATTAAAACAGTCTTTAATTATCGCTCGGGGACAGTAAATAATCCAACTACTCGTAGAAATTAATTTATATAATGATAATGGTACGGTGGTAGCCGAGCTATTATGATATTAGTCAATTATAAATATTTATATAAATTCGGGTGCAAGCTTATGTAATATTTAATAAATGAGTGTACACACTTAATTTGTAAGTAACTCTAATGATCAAATTAAAGTAAAGAGGCTGATAAAGTTATTTTCATATCTAGCCAACCTTATCCTGCCTTTCATTGATCCTTTGTCTTGTATTTTTTAAGCTTACGCGCGTATGAAGAGTTCTTGCAAACGGTTCATTGATTCTAGAAAATGAAATGACATGGAAAATATTGAACAACAATTTTGCACGTACTTAATGCAATTTAAAACATTACTAAAATAATTTAAGAATGTTTAATTAAATTATACAACCACCTGATATTTTGTACGTACCTGGTTGTATAATCCAACTTTGTATATATCACGTACTCCATTAAAGGGGTGTCTATGTTAAAGATGTAATTTCATCCAACATTCCCCATTTATGAAAATGCAATTAAATTGGCAAGCTTCTCTATGGCCTACCAAGAATACTAAAAAGACTAAAAGTTGATTAGCAAACGGCAAAAAAAAAAAAAAAAAAGGATAAGCCCCTGTTCAGTCCATCTTACAAAAATGATACTCTCTCTGTCCCTTATCTTTTGCTTCATTTGATTTTTCACGGTCTCTAAGATGTGTCTTTAAACGAATATATCTCCATTTATATACGCGTAAAAATTATAAAAACTTGATATTAATAAAATATACTATTAGACGATTCTAACAAGATCCCACATGAATATATTATCAATTATAGACTAATGACAATTCATGGTCAAAGTTATAAAAATTTGACCCATATATTTGCAATGGGGCAAAAAATAAGGGACCGAGGGAGTATTCAGTAAAAATAAGTTCAGTTTAGTAAAAATAATTTCAATTCAGTAAAAATATTTTAGTTCAGCAAAAATAAGGTGAAGTAAATAGAGCCTAATATGTGTTTGTATATATCACTCCATTAAAGGTGCCCTTATTTAACATTTTTTTTACTCATTTTAAAATCTTAATATGAGTAAAAAAAAACATATAGAATGAACAACACTTACCTCTACATACACCCGTGTGTATGTTGTATATAAAAGATGGTATTTTTTACTTATTTTAATCAATCTAATTTTTGCAAATAATGATTCATATAGGTACCCTAGTGAGCCTAGTGGCTAACTACAAAAAGTTACTCTAGCTAAGTAATAAAAGCTACTTTAGCTAATCAACTTGATTTAATTAAAACTAGAGTGTATCCATGCTAATGCACGGTATATACATAGCGTATAGGAGTGGAAGTTATTTAATTGGAGGTTATAGCCAAAAAAAAAAAAAAAAAAAAAAAAAAAAAAAAAAAAAACCTTTAAATGCATGAGATTTAATTTGAGTATTGGGGATTCGAAGGGTTGTGTTGAATTGGCTTCTAAATTATATTAAAATGTATAATATTTGTCAACTTGTAATTTTGTCATAAATTTTAATCCTAACAACAAGTACTCCGGCCTGTATCATTCTAAAAAAACCAATTATCACAACTTAATCGGCATTTTTTTTTTTTTTACCACGTATAAACCTTGCTTTTACACGAAGTAATATGCGATAGGCCAAAAAACTTAGCATGAATAATATTCTGAATACATTAGCACTCCGTGACTCCGTGTATTATCAGAGACTAAACATTATAAGTATTTTAAAACCATGCAAAAATTTATTATATCATGAATCCCAAGCAACTTTTTTTTTTTTTTTTTTTTAATGAAAATAATGGACAAAAAAAAAAAATCATTGATTTTCACCGTATATAGTTTGTGGATTTGGTGTGGTTATTAATGTTACATGTAAGAGATACTTGTATGTAAGCATTGATTTACCGAATTTTCATTATTATATTTATACAAACTATACTCAAGACTTGATTAAATCTAGACTACATTCGAAAATTTAGTGCCCCATGTACTGTGATTGAGTTACTATCAAGTTAATTACCAGTATAAAGGATTACTCAAAATTACTCCGCATATGAATAGATAAGACTTGCTAAGAGGATTTCCAAAGTTCATAATCACTTTTTTGCAAATTGGTTCATTGTATTTGATTGATTTGACCTTTATATCAAACACATAGTAATCAATTTTAGGAGAATATAATGCTAAAAGAAAATATTTTACGAGTAGTAAATAAAGGATTAGCAAACTTTTTAGAAGCAAAAATGGCCCTATAATTCTTCTCTGCGCCATTATTTCGCCTTTAATTCCGTAGCTGAGGATGCTTACATACATTTATACTTCGTATTATATTGACTTATTAATTAACGGCTAGTGCTACTAGATTAGAGGTGTGTGAAATTAGTTTCTTTCGGTTAAAGACGTTGAAGATTACCCTGAATTTGTCAACAATCTCAAGCTGAAAGAGAGATAATTACGCTAAACAAGGGCCAGTTAGTCATTTTTTCCTATCTCTAATTACTCTAAAAGGTTGAAATATTGCGACAATATTTTTTTAATTCCATCTTGGATTCTATGTTAGACTATATCGACAATGGCAGAACGTTGAAACAATAATATCAGTTACTCATTTGCATTATTTACGCCTTATGGTAGCAAATTAACAAAATCACTAATTCTCAAAAGCAAGGTTGAATATGAAATATTGTGTCAATACATTACACTTATGTTTATGTATACAAAAATGGTTAATTAATATGAAGAATTATGAAAAATGGCCCTAACACATAATTTTCCTACCAAAAAAATTCTTAAAAAGGTCTTTGCCCTATAACATTTCCAGGAGGATAATAATTGCAAGTAATAAAAGTGCCTCCATTTTGACACTTTTCTTTGGCACACCCAACACTTTGTGTATCTTTCCAAACAATTTGTGTGTAATGCCCACACATTTCCTTGCAATTATTAGAGCCATAATCATAATTGGGCTTTTCACCAGCCCACAAATCCACAGCTTCAGTTGGGCTTAATTCTCCAGGACTCATTGCAATGTTCTCACCATAAATTGGGCTATTTGAGTGTTGCAATTTGCAATCTACGGCTCTCTCTTTAGCATACGATCTAGCAAAGGCTGCTAGAGTCTCGTTCCAAACTAAAGGGGGTTGCAATGCCGCAAGACGGGCCACATTAGTTGGTACAAGATATTGAAGTTTCCAATCAAATACGGATGTAGCCCAACATATATTGGCCATGGTAAGCCCACTTACCAAAACAATGGCTAAGGAAAGATTTAAACTAGCCATTGTTTTGGGTGAGTTTAAAACTAATGAGGGTGAGAGAATGAAAAGATATGGAAAAAAGTTGGGGGAATTATGTTTATATAGGTGGGTTTTGTTTTAGTTTTTTGTTAAAAATAGTATTGATGGTGCTAAACATAGGGATTTTCTGTGAAATTTTAGATATATGGACCACAATTTGTTTGGTGAATTTTAACATCTTATAAAACTTAAGCACGCTATTGTTTAGCTTATCAATATTTGGTGATATTATATTCTATTTATATCCACTTTTATTGTAATGATTTTTCAATTGACAATAAAAGATATACGAGGTACATATACAAAGTTAGAAATTTCACAATTTGCAATTTAATTTGTTGCTAAAAAATAATGAACAAAATCAAATATTTAATTTGTTTTAAAAAGAGATGAAAATCTATCTTGAAAAAATAAATATATATACTACATATGTATGTCGATCCCTCTACTACATAGCAATAGTAATCCGTAGTTTAGCACTATACAGCTAACCAAACTTATTAATATACTCTCTAATAGATAAAATAAGTAAGCACTGTACAAATCTGAACTAAAAGAGCATACCCTAAATTTGTACAAATTTATAGAAGAAATAATGCAATGCAGATTTCTTCTGAGTAAAGCTAAAATACAATCCCTAATCTTTTGTATTTGTGCACTTTTAGTCCCTCTGAATTATTTTGTGTACTTTTAGTCCCTCTAAATTATTTTGTGCACTTTTAGTCCCTCTGCCACCAAGGTTGGTGTTTTCTAGCCAAAAGTTGAGGGACCTAGTCTAGTCAGCATTAGTTTAGGGACCATGACTCATATTTTTTTTATTTGTCTTTTTTTTCGTCACAATTTATTAAAAAACTTTTTATTAGTTTAGGGACCAAGCTACTCCAATATCTTTCTCTCTCCTCAATATTCAAATCTGGTTTTTTCCCTCTCCTCTCTTTGCTTTCCCTCTTTGAACCCTAATTCCTCTCCTTTTCTCTTCAAATCTTTAGCCAAAATTAATTTTTTTACAATAAAAAAATCAGATTAAATATCAAGAAACATATATTAATAAAAGCCCTACAAAAATTTCACTTTTCTGAAAATTCGTTGCTCTACAGTAGCAACACCAAAGACGATTTTTTTTTTCTTAAAAGCAGCCAACGTTGAATTTTTGGGAGCAATGTAGTCGGATTTCTGGGGATGAAAATGTCAAAAAGTTGGGGAAAATGGTCGATTTTTTTTTGGAAAAAATAATTGGAATTTCGGAGAAGTAGTCTTAATTTGACAAAATTTGGGGGAAACAGTCAAATTTTTTGGGGAAAATTGTCGGAAACTATGTAAAGATGGTACTCCTTCTACTCGTATTAGTGTGGAGAAGGCTAATTTAACCCCATATACATTTTCTTCTCATTACCTAACTAAAAAAATGTCTCCAAAATCAAGTCAAAAACCCAAAAGCCCTTGGTTTCCTCTTATCAACCAAAAATCAATTTTAGCTTATTTCAAAATTCCACTACATATAACCAATAAATCTACATTCGGCATCAAAGTTAGTGCTAATATAGGGAATCGGCATCATAGTTGGTGCTAATGTATTCCTAAAAAGAATTCTTTATTATAAATATGTAGCCACCAGTTAAATTCACTAAGTAAGGAACATATTTGTATTAAAGTTTCATGATAGTTATTTAGGTATATTATCAATAAAGAGTCCAATATATTTATTGGCAATTAGACACCTAAAATAACACTCAACTCTGTCATTTAAGCAAATGGAGTTGGTGTTTATGTAAAGCAAATGGAGTCACCTCCCACTAAATAAAGTTGGCTTTATTGTTTCCAATGGAATGAAGAGTAATATTTGAATTGAAGTTTCATTATTGAATTTTTTGTATAGAACTTCCTTCAATCCAAAATTCTACAAAATTAATGTTAATTTGAATGATATTTTCGATTGTATCGTCTCTTTGTATCATAATTCTTGTAATTGATCTAATAGAAGAAATACACGTTTTAACATTTTTCTGTTTTTAAAAACTACTTTACAACAATTGCTCCGCACAGTTAAGTGTTTGTTCCCATCCTTTCACGATTATAAGTAATGTGTTGCATTAGATGAACCACGACATTAAGCTCTCTTGCTCTGCTTAACCTCCATATTTATCAAAAAATAAAAAATAAAAAATAAATAAATAAAAATTTGTGGCATTTATATTGATTAATTTGGACTCGAGTTTTAATCTGTTTCCTTTCTCCAAAACCTATTTGACAAAAGAACTTTAATGACCCAATATCCCTAAAGTCAAACACAATTGAAGATGAAAAATAATATCATAGTGTCAGATTGCAAAAAAAAAAAGAACAAAAACCAAGAGTTAATAGAAATTTATGTATTGCACATTCAGGAAATCCAAAGATTCACACTTAATAAGTATTAAATCTTACATCATGTGTGTTTTATCATTGAATTAAATTATAAATACTCAAATTTATTTCAGAATAACAAGATGCGTGTTACTGTATTCGGAGATCAAATTAAAGCATATGATGAAGTTATTGCATACAGTGGAGAGTATGAAATCTCTAATGCAACTGTGAAGCCACTAGATGATCAATACCGAGCTGTCCATGATTAGTTACCATTTCAGCTACATTTCAGTCATCAGACAGTTGTTTAGCCAATCTGCCCTGAAACAGGCCATGTGGTACCACAATATCAGTCAATAGCTTCAATTCCAAGAGTGCAAGTTGCTGATGAAAGATATGGTTTTATCCTATACTTAAGCTATTACTTATATCCTACTACATATCTATGTATCAATCATTAAAAATTTGTTAATAACACAGATTTTTAGCCAATTGATACAATTTTCTGTGAATTTGACGGAGATGGTGAATATGGTATACCCATTATATTACTATCTACATGTTTATGCACCTAACTTTTCCCGATTTTTAGATAGCATATTGATCAGAAAATTTATTCAAATTATACAGATGTATTGGGAGTGGTACTATTTGTAGAATAAGAAGCACGGCAAGTTAACTCCAAATATAACAACTAAAGCTGTGTCCGAGAGACCGACAGATTGTCATCACAGATTAAACATAAAAAATAATACTTTAACTAATTCATAACATAATTCTGTTACATGTGCAATTACTTAACTAACTGGTTGTTTACTTATTACAGCCATAACCAGACCTTGACCATCTCTGCATGGAATGACCTCTCAAGAACTACAAGTGATGCTCTTAATTTCTAGGCTGAAAGATTTGACGTAGTTGGCTTCACAGCACATAAACACAATCCTCGCAAAGGTAGAACCACATAAACTAATTAATTTAGAAGAAATCCTACTTATTGTTCGTACGAATTAAAAGGCTAACATGTTATCTATTGTACAACGTTTGCCTTATCAACTAGCATGTCTACAAGGATTATTCATAACCCAAAAGGAGATAGGGCGAATGTCTTACGTGAATGGTAATTAAAGTCATTACAACTACTAATTGATAACAAATAATTACTTTAACTTCTTAAACTCTCAGTCGTGATGCCATAATTATTTTTTATACATGTATAGGGTTGTAGCACAAAATCAGCTACTACAAGATAGACAAGCAAGAGTTTTACAAATTCGAGATCCTACACAAGAACAATCTATGAAAACATTTGAAGAACTGAAAGACAAGAAAGTATAAGAATTATAGACAATGTCTTTGTTTAGAATTAAAATAATACAGTATTAATATTATTTTCATAAATTCATGCAGGCTGCAAATGCACTGATGGAAGAACGTCACTGGATTCAGGCTATCATTCCAAATGCTACTTTGGATGATGTATTTGTTTACATAGGTTTTTCCAGTTGTGGTAAAAAATGCAGTGTTCCTGAAGGAAGGCAATTCATATGCACTGTCTGTGACAACAAGAACTGTGTCTCAGCTCCAAGGTTTGTTAAAACCCAACTTTTAAAACAATCAATTATATAATTTAACAATACCTTTATATTTGACCTATGTAAAAGCTTAACCTATTAAGCTATCAGGTGAAAAATGCAATTAACCCTACCATTAACTTTATCATTTTTTTTGTTGTACAGGGTTGCTTTTAAATTCGAGGTAGCTGATGTAACATGTTCAATAACATTGACATCGTTCAACAATGACACAGAGAAATTGTTCAGCAAGAACGCAGCTGAAATCAAAGCTATGAAAGATCTTGTATGGCTCTTTTACATAATACTTCTATTAAATTTAAACTTAACTTAAAAGCAATTGCAAACATTCTACTTATAATGAATATTGTTAATAAGATACATATCCTTTCAATGCTATATTTCAATTAGAACAGCTTACAATACACTGATAATATACATGCTAATTACAAATGTATTGTCTAGGGTGATGTGGTTGCCTTTCAAGCGATTGAAGAAAAACTCAGGAAAAAGACAACTTTTTTCAAACTCGATCCATCTAATTCGCTAGGTTCAAGCAGTGTTTTAGAATGGTCACTCAAAACTATTGAAACCGCTAAAGATGCATCCAAAAAGGATATAACAAAATTAACTATTGCAAGAAGTGATGAAATTGAATTTTCAGATTTAAATATGAATGTGGAATTTACACCAACCAAGCCTTGTGGGAGTGCTTCAGTTGGTATGGAAGAAAATGTTACATCTACAAACGAAGATACACCTGATTCAAAAGCGAAGGACAAAGGGAAAGAGAAAATTTCAGAAACAACTTCCCTTAAATTCCCATTGTCACCAAAGGGTAACAATTCTAACACATATTTATAATAAACAAGTCCTCTAAATTATGCATAGTAAATTCATGAAAATTGATACACCTATACATACCCCAATTCCCAGGAATTGTTATAGCTGATGAAGGCCATGGGAAAATTACTCAGAGTCCCACATATGAAACACCCAAAGACCTCATTACTACTACTGAAAGCAACTTGAAAAACAAACTCCTGGAACATTCAGCTGCTGAAACACCTGCTACTGTGAAATCTCATAAGATTTCACCTGTTGAGTGGACACAACTTTGTCGCACACGCATGAGTGGAAACAAGCAGTCTCTAGTGACTCCAGCACATAATGAAGAAAAACGAACTGACTTGGTTCGTTTAAAAAGTGTTGCTTGAAAGAAACTCCATTTCACAACATCACCATCTGATGAAAGTGCAGATCATGACTCCGCCAACAAGGAACCAACTAATTTAGCAACATCCACTCTTGAAAAATCTACTACACCAGACAGTGATGCAAACACAGTTGTACCCAAGTATGATCATGTCATAGAGACCTCAACTGACTCTCTCACCGAAGGAAATTAGCAGCAAATATTTCCGCAATGTACATAGGTAAGTGAACTAGCTACTATAAGTAACTTCTAAGGTGTGATACTGTCACCCCCTTTATTAAAAATATTTTGCTTGCATGATAATTACATTAGTGACATCTATTAAACATGAGGGTAATTACAGCACTTGATATTTTGATGTATTGAAGGAACGTAGTTCATAGTACGTATTTCTTTCAAAAACCCTCCGTTTCTTTTGTATTGGTCTAGCATTGCATTAAAACAAGTTTAGATGAAGGTAGAAGATCTAATGTAAATAGGGTTACAATGCTGTTGAGTTAAATCTTTTGAAGAGTTTTCTAGGAACATGTACAATAGTTAATGTTCCTGGAAAACACTATGAAGAGTAGTATTCTATGTTGTTCATAAAAAATTGCACTGATATAATGTTTATTTATAAATCATGATATATAAAATATATAAATTATAGTAAATCAGAAGTGTTACAATTTTTACTAACTTAGTTTATATATTACATAATTAATATTTTTGTTTGATCCAATATTAAATAAGCATCCTTGAACTTGTATCTCTTGAAGGATAACTAATGTAAGTTACATAGTTGTGTACAATGATATCCTAATCTAATAATTTAATTTTATTGATAATCGCTTCTTAAATTATCTATATATCTCCTCCATAATATAAGCATACCATTCTAGCTCTTCCATTGACTAGTACAACTTAAAGAAAAGACGTTGAAAATTATATTAAATTGTTATAAAAAAAAATTTATTTTTTGACAAAATAAATTGTTAGATTTTTTACTTTGTTTCTTATTATGTTTCCACCTTTATTTCCATAGACACTCTTATAACCTATTTTTTCCTAAATATTTTGCAAAGTTAAAATTGTTTAATAGCTTAATATCGCAATTAAAATTAAAAAGGGTTTTATTATTTGATTATAACTTGGTTTTGGTAAAAGTTGAGAAAGTTAATTGAGATTACCAAAATTCTCTTCTTTGACTTCTCAATTTCTGATAAATTTATAGCCTTTTTTTTTATTGTCACTATATATTTGGTTACAATTTTTAATACAATCACATGAAACTTGGATTATAAGGGTACACTCCTTTGCACCAACATGGAAGGTCCACAAAAGTAATATTTAGCTTTTTTTTTTTTTTTTTTTTTTACTTTTTTCCCCCTTATATTTTCTTTATTATTTTGAATTTTCTTGATGAACACTACTCATAATATACAACAGATATATTCTATACAATAAATTTAATCTGTCCAACTCTTGTAAAGGTATAATTGTTACCTCAAATTTGGTATAAGTTAAATCTGAGTGCTAAAACCACATAATATCTAAAATTAATTGTATATATATCGTGGATTTATAAAATCAATATGTTTTCCACGTACGAAAAAATATTAAAAAAAACAATTCAGATTTGAATGCTGGATACAACCAATTTTCGAAACATATTAACATGTAAAGTAGCCAAGAATACAAGATCTCAAATTTAGATCAATTCTTATGGCTTTATTGTTATTTTTTTATACAAATACTTTGTTAGAGCAGATTTACTATTACAAATTTAAAATTAATGGACAAAGTTACTGCCAAGTGCCAATCATGGTTGTTAAGATTTCAGGTAAGTTTGTGTCAACAGTTTAATTAATTGAAATGTTAATTAATCCTAATTATGCTAATGAAGTCAAAGTCATCTAATCCCGTATTTATAGATATGATTAGAACAAACATATTCACAGAAGTTTGTGCCACTAACTTTAACCAAATGATTACTCCCTGATAATCTGCCCTTATCAAATACATTGATTATTTGATCTGATTAATCAGTTTGCCCCAAACTTTCTTTGATCCGATTCAAAGAACATTACTTGATTAATTTACCCTTAAAATCTGCCCTTACTCGATTAATATGCCCTGATAATCTGCTCTTACTTGATTATTTGATTAATGTGCACTTATAATCTGCCCTTACTTGATTAATCGATTTGCCCCAATGTGCTCTTAATTTTTTAATCAATGCAAATATTAATTTTAAAATGCAGTCATTAAAAATGATTCTACTATTGTTAGCGCCACTCTGTATGCAACTATTTCCTGCTAAAAGCATCTTGTCCCATTTGTTTATAATCAAATCTTATAACTATTTAGTTTACAATAAATATCAAATAAACTAAAATTCATAGTGGTGATAATAAATCCACCAAATATCCGATAAACACAATCCTACAAAACTTTTGCATTTACCCCCACAAACCAACAAATAATTTTAAAACTCTTATTTGAATGATTATTATTACATTATATCATTAATTTTATAGCCAATATGATATTAAAATTAGAACTATCTATACTTCTTATTGGAACAACATCTTTTGATCTGATTCTAAGAACATTACTTCTTTTTAACATGATAATTCAAATTACTTCTTTCTAATAACATAATTTAAGTTACATCTTTCTCATATAATAACTTAGAATGCAACATTTCCTTCTTAGATTGCCTTTAATACTTTAAATTCTTACGACATTCATACACTACGCAAATATAATTACCGTATAATAGAATCAACAGATATATTACTTACTAATAATAATCCCAGCCATTGGGGCCGTTTTTAAAATTAAAAAGCAGGAATAGGACAATTTTTAAAATTGTACTCCGTAGTATAGAACTATTACAGTTTTTGGGGCCTTGAAATCTGAAGCCCTTGGTTGTGATTCCAACAGCCGGCCCATAATAGATATCATACTTTGTATACAAGTGTGTACAGTTTACTACTAGTATGATGGTTGTAGTGTTTTACTAATAATGTATTTCATTCTAAAACTAATAACCTTAAATTCTTAAAATAATTTTTTTTTTATTCAAATTATAATTAAATTAATTATCCTGCATATTTTGGTTATATTATTTATATTATTGATGAGGTTGAAATATTAAAATATTGATATTATTGTTATCTACAAATGTTGCTTTTAGGTATATGGATCTTGATTATGCAGGATCGTCTCGCCTTACTGAGAAGGCAGATGTCTTTGCCTTTGGGATAGTGCTGCTGGAGCTTGTGACAGGCCGGAAGCCTATTGATGATAGGCGACCATTTACCGATGATGCCCCTTTCAAAGAATGGGTAAAATACTACTTTTAATAAATAAAAGAAATATTTTATTTTGAATATTGTTGCATTTGTTAATTAATTATAAACTATTACTTTAACAGGTTAAGCCTCTGATCAAACAATTAAGCTTTGCAGGGTGGGGATGTGACAAAGTTGGTTGACAGCAATTTGATTCAATTTGACCGAGATCAATTGCGTCAAATGGCTAATTGTGCCCTGACTTGTCTTAGCCTGTTTCCGAGTAACCGGCCTACTATGGCTCAGGTAATAATATAATTGGACTTAATTTATCAGGTTGTCGAGGTTTTGGAAGGAACAATGTCCATGGAAGATCTAATTGAGTTGGGAGGAGTTACAAGGTCTTCTTCAGATGAGACTATTCCATCTATTCACACGGTTTTTGGTGAAGGTGAATCTGACAGTGAACACTGAAGATTAGCTCTATAGATAGAAATACAATTGGACTGATATACTTCCTGCAGAGGGCGTCCCCATTACTCACTGTGAGAAACAATTTCTCACAGTGGCAGTTTGGTAAATAAAATGTACCACTTTAGTCACGGTGGTACATTTTATTTACGAAATGGATGATAAAATTGTACCACTTTAGTCACGACGGTATATTTTATTTACGAAACCGCCACTGTAAGAAACAAAAACGTTTCTCACGGTGAGTAACAGAGATTTACTGCTTCCTGCATTACTGAAACAAATACGTAGTATTTTAATTTGCACATGTGGAATCAATAACAGATATTCTCATTTAGGTAGGTTAAAAAGCATTTTATGTGGACTCTTCATATATAGTTGACTAACTATAGGAATATATTAGTCATAATGAACACAAAATCAAAGTACTATAAATGTATAATCAGCCCATACACCTTAAGTACCCCAACTAACCCCCTCACAAACAAAAGCAACCAAAAAAAAAATGAAGTTATTCATTCATCTCTTTATCGCATTTTTAGCCTCAATTCTTGTGATAACTCATGCCCAAGACAACCAAACGGAGTTCCTAGACGTGCACAACACGGCCCGTGCTCAAGTCGGAGTACCCAGGGGCGGAACTAGGGTGGGTTCAAGTGGGTTCATTGAACCCACTGATTTTTTGAAAAAAATTTAAATTTTTTTTTTTTAAAAAAAAAAAAAAATCAAAATAGGTTTAAATAGAATATTTGTGTATTATATGGCAACAAGTAAAGTTGTAGCCCAGTGGTTATTTTTACCTCCCATCACACAAGAGGTTGTGGGTTCAAAACCCATAACTCACATTTTTTTTTTTTTAATTTTGTTTCCTGAGCAGCTTTCCTGCTTCGTGCTTCCAGAGTTCGATTTCCTCTTCCTCATTCAGTCATTCCCCCAAATTGCAAAACCCTAACTTCTTCCTCCAATCCTCCTTCTCTTAATCTCTTCCCGTTCTTCCTCCTTCAGTCCTTCTCTTCCCGTTCTTCCTCCTTCTCTTCCCGGCGCAGCACGGCAGCAGACTAGCAGAGTCAGCAGAACACGGCGGCAGCGGCAGGCCGGCAGCGCACCAGCCACTCACCCAGACCCAGCGTCCCAGCCTCACAGAGTCACAGCCGTGTATGCCTGTATGGTGTATCGCAGTATCGGTGTATGTAGGGGTAAGGCTATTTTCTGATTTTTTTTTTTTGCAAATGTAATTTACTTCTCAATTTGGGGATTTTTTTTGCTAAATCATTGAATACTTGAAAATTGAAATTCATATGCTAAATTCAATTGCTAATATACATTACGATTTACGAATTGCCAATTTTTTGTAAATTGTTGAAGTTTGGTTAATTGGTTATAATTATCTAATTTACTTCTCAAGTTCTCAATTTGGGGATTTTTTTGTATTTCGTATGCTATTTTCTGATTTTCATATGCTATGCTATTTTCTGCCTTTCGTTTCTGCCAATTCATATGCTATTTTCTGTATTTCGTTTCTGCCTTCTAGTTTTCATAATTTCATTTGCTATTTCGTTTTATGCCGTCTAGATTTCGTTTACTAATTGAGTAATTGACTGTAATCTTTAATTACGATAGTTTTAATTAGCCTTCTAGATATATCATTCATTCATTATTTCATTGATTTCATTCTGCATTTATCATGTGTGTGCAGCAGACTAGCAGCATATACCTATTATACCATGAGTTTAGAGTCATTTTGGAAACGTGCCGGGAAGTCACAAAAGTCTTCAACTTGTTCTTCACCTAGTTCAAGGGATCCTCCAATAGAAGAACATGTGTCTCCTAATGATGATGAGGTTCCTATTGCTGCAACAATTCCACCACCTGAGAACACTAATACTACTGTTGACTCCGATGATACTCGCATTTATGATGTTGATCTTCTTCCACATGACCCTGGAAAAAGAATTCCAGTTATGGAGTATCCTCCTAATGATCGAGATGCCGTAAGGAGAGGCTATATTACAAAGAAACGTTGTGATCCACGCACACATAATTTTCCTCAAAGAAAAGTTGGAGGTATGCGCCGTTTTAATGTTACTTGGTTTGATAAATATGAGTGGCTTGAATATAGTGTTGAGAAAGATGCGGCTTTTTGTTTTGTGTGCTATTTGTTCACTGATAAAGTTGATTATTCTTTGGCTGTTAATGATTCCTTTATTAAAGGGGGATTTAGAGGATGGAATAAGACTGGTAGATTTGATGTTCATGTGGGTGGTATTGGTAGTTTCCATAATCAGGCTAATGAGAAATATAGTATGTTTATCAACCCAAAGACATCAGTTGCTGAATCTCTTTGCACTTATTCTAAGGAAGCTAAACTACAATACAAATCTCGCTTGACTTATTCATTGAAATGTATTAGATTTCTTTTAAATCAAGGTTTAGCTTGTCGTGGGCATAATGAAAGTGAAGAATCTTGGAATAGGGGTAATTTTCTTGCACTCTTAACATGGTTTTCAGAAAATAATAGTGAGGTAGCAAAGGTTGTTCTAGGTAATGCCCCGGGAAATAATCGAATGACTAGTCCTTTAATTCAAAAAGAACTTATTAATTGTTGTGCCAAAGAAACCACTAGACTTCTTATTGATGATATTGGGGATGACTATTTTGGAATACTGGCTGATGAATCTAGTGATGTATCTCAAAAGGAACAAATGGCCCTTTGCTTGCGTTATGTCAATAATAAAGGGAAGATAAATGAGAGGTTTCTTGGAATTGTACATGTTAAGGATACTACTGCTTTGTCACTAAAGAGTGCAATTGAGTCTTTGCTTATGGAATATTCATTGAGTTTGTCTAGAGTTCGTGGACAAGGTTATGACGGTGCTAGTAATATGAGGGGGGAGATAAATGGTCTCAAGACTTTGATCATGAATGAAACAAAACAAGCCTATTATATTCATTGTTTTGCTCACCAACTTCAATTAACCCTTGTTGCTGTTGCTAAGGATAATGATGATTGTATTTGGTTGTTTGATCAACTTGCTATTTTGTTGAATATTATTGGTGTTTCTTGTAAGCGAAGGGAAATGATAAGAGAAATACAATCTCAACATATTCTACAAGCATTAGAACTAGGAGAAATTGAAAGTGGGCAAGGTTTAAACCAAGAACATGGCTTAGGTAGGCCTGGTGATACTAGGTGGGGATCACATTACAAAACTGTTTCAAATGTTACCGCATTGTATGCTACTATTGTTAAAGTTCTTGAGAAGATTGGATCAAATAAGATTTATAAGGATGATCGCGTGAAGGCTATCACTGTCATGTCTACATTTGAATCATTTGAATTTGTATTTATGATACATTTGATGTCCGAAATATTTGGGATTACTGATAAATTGTGTCAAGCTCTGCAAAAGGGGGACCAAGATATTGTTAATGCCATGACATATGTTAAATTGACTAAGGAGGGATTACAACAAATGAGGGACCATGGGTGGGAAGACTTTTTACATCTTGTGGTTTGTTTTTGTGTTAAACATGATGTAGAAGTTCCTACTATGGATGATATGTATGTTCCTCGTGGAAGGTCAAGACGCTTCTTTGCCAAAGTTTCAAATCTTCATCGATTTCGGGTAGAAATGTTTATAAGTGTTATTGATTTACAACTCCAAGAGCTCAATAGTAGATTTGATGAAGAAAATATGGAGTTACTTATTTGTGTGTCATGCTTAAACCCGATCAATTCATTTGCGGCATTTGATATGCAAAAGTTGTTGAGACTTGCTGAGTTATATCCCAAAGAGTTTCCAACTAATGATATGACGATGACTGCACTTCGTCATGAGCTTCAATTTTATATTAATGATGTGCGCCAAGATGCAAGGTTTGGAGACTTGAAGGGTATTCATGAGCTTTCTATGATGCTTGTTGAAACAAATAAGCATACTACTTACAACTTAGTTTACTTGCTTATAAGACTAGCATTGATCCTTCCGGTTGCAACTGCAAGCGTGGAACGAGTGTTTTCCTCAATGACATACGTAAAAAATAAGTTGCGAAATAGTATGGGTGATCAACTATTGAATGATAATTTAGTCACTTTTCTTGAAAGAGATTTATTTTCAAGAGTTAGTGATGATGATGTATTGGAACGCTTCCAAAGTATGAAGACTCGAAGAATGCTTCTGTAGTCTTTTTTTTTTTTTTTTTCATTTTTCTATGTGTAATCTATTTGTAATCCATAGTTTGAAATTATTTATGTACTGAATATTTAATTATTGTATTTTTATTCCTTTGTTAATTATGATTTCAAATTTCGGAAGTTTCGAACCCACACTTCGAAAATCCTGGTGACGCCACTGGGAGTACCACCCCTTAAATGGAACCACACCCTAGCATTATACGCCCAAAATTTAGCCAACAAAGTCAAGCAAACATGTAATAGCACGATGTCATCTAGGGGACCTTACGGTGAAAACACGGCTTCCGGTTATGGGGCTTTTACGACGGTTGATGCGGTTAACCAATGGGTAGGGGAGAAGGAAAATTATGATCATCGTTTGAATGATTGTGTGAATGGTACAGAATGTAAACACTATAAACAAGTGGTTTGGAAAAATAGCTTATATCTTGGTTGTGCTAGTATAATATTTGGTGCTGGTTGGCCCTTTGTTGTTTGTGAATATGATCCTCCTGGTAATGTTAATGGTACATGGCCTTATTGATTACCCTTTAATTAATTTTGTAGTAACTTGCTATTAATGTATTCTAATTAATTACTGAGCTTGTAATGTTGCTTACCTTTATATATCATTAATATGGTATGAGCTTTCATCCCAATTTAATGAATTATTGATGAAATGGAATAAAATTTTGGTTTTTATAAATCTTTGAATTCTAATGTGTAGTTGTGAATTGATTAATGTTCGTAAATGTTAGATAATGTTTTCGGTTATTGATTTGAAAATAAAGATTTAATTTTGTTTCTTAAGCATCATTTAAAGTTTTATACGGTAGAATATTATTACTAGCTAGATTGTCAGTAAACTTTTACGGAGTACTAATCAATGTTAGGTTAATAAACACAATATAATTATATAAATGAGCTTTATTATTTTAGTGGGAGGTTTTAATCCATATCTTAATCTCCATACATAATCACACGCCCCTAAGGTCCTACAAACAAACAAGAAAAAATGTATCTAAGGAGCAGTAAATTATAGATAAATGCTTAATTAAATTAATCTTAAGTTTGTATTTATCTCTCTAATTCAAGAAGCACTTTTGACTTTTCAAGCTTTTATAACTTATAAGGGAAATATATTTCTAATTTGTCATGCTTTAATTTGAAATCAACGCAAGATTCAGTTTTTTCAATTAATCAAACATATAAAATAAATAAATAAATAAAGTGACATTCAAATTCCTTTTAAAGAAAAACAAAAGTTAAGACAATAAAAGAATTCATATATACAATCATATATTTGAATTACATAACCATATGATTAGTCTGAACTATAACGTTTGGTCCATTTGTACGACAATTCAACCCCATTGATTTGAAGCATTCATCAATCTCATTAATCATTTCCTTTGCATGTTTACTCGTCCCTTCTTTAGTCCCTTGCAAAAGGAACTTTCTCTTTACCTCTTCAATTACATCTCTTACATCACGACTTTCATAATCTTGTTCATCCTCTATGTTGTAGAATTCTTTGTGTGTCTTCTTTAACTCTCTTAAAACCCTAGCGAGTTCTCCGTACTTTTCACTTTCATCTGCCCAATTTCGTGACCAAGATTTCTTACTCGAGGATTCATCATCAAAGAACTTGTACGGAGCTATTTTGATCAAATTCTTAGCATTGTCGTCTTCCCATACTTCTTTTATATCATCAACCACTAAAACAACCCTTTCGTGTGACAATACAAGATCGAACCCCTTCTTCAATGGTTTTGAACGGATATCCTCTCTTGCGATCACTTGTGAATTAGCAAAATACAACTCCTCGGGATCAAGTAGTTTAAGCATTTTCCTTGCGTATTTGCGAGTTCCAAACGTTAAAATTGAAAACTCAAATAGTGCGCTGGCTTCTTTAAGAAACGTTTCAGCATTAGGCCTCAATTTTGTAACCCAATGATCATTATGTCCCTGTAAATAATTGAAAATCATGCTAATTTAATGCATACTAGAACCATATATACTTCAACGACTTAACAAAATATAGACCTATTTCTAAATAAACATGATTCTTTGAAAATCTTTTTAACAAATTAATGCAAGTGATCGATAATATGTACGTAAATGTTATTCAACATACAAATTAAAGATAATTTTAAAAATCAGAAACGTACTCTAACACGTAGACATGTCATGCTATCGTTTCTTTCAAACTTCCACTAGAATAGCTTCTTTTCCTCGATCAATTTGACACCAACAGAGCGTTGTAAATAATCACGATCGTATTTGGTTAACTTTATCATAGGATTCGAGTGAAGAAGAGTATTATCTAAATCAAGAACAAGATGGAGCTTCTGCCGCGCCAATAAACTCTTTAAATTTTTATCACGAACACTTTTAATCAAATCAGCATTATGAATTGAAGAAGATGAATTAACATTAGGCTTTAAGTTTTGAACTGCCATTATCAAGCTTGCAGTGTAAAAGAGCATACAAATTTATTTATTTTTGATGAAAGATAATAATCTGATTTATGCGTAGTATTTATTTATAATTGAGCCCCTTAGAACTAAGTCGGTTAAACTAGATATTATTAATACCTTGAGAAACAAGGACACCTCATGCTACGAGTAGTAATACTAATATACTATCATTAGTTCATCTTCATAATATGGAATTTCTCAAAAGGGCCCGGGCCCAATCAATTTAAGTTAAGGGACATAGAAATATGATTAACACAAATTCTTATATGTGGTTGGCCACACGGGCCAGTCATCATAGGGGTTAGTTTGTTAGTCTAATAGGGGTTACTTCGTTAGTGTTGAAGGGGTTACTTTGTCAGCTTTATAAGGTTACTCGGTTAGTGTTATAGGGGTTACTCAGTCAGTATTTATGGGGTTACTTGGCCAGTGTAATAGGAGTTACTTTGTTTTTTTTATAAGTGGTCACACGGTGTGGCCGGTCATACGCAAGCCGGGTTGTATAATTAATGATGCTTGATCTTCAATTTTCATATCAATGTGATTATGTGCGCACGCGGAACTCAACTACTGCTTCAAGAAATCCAAAGAATTGAAGTACTTATAATTTTCTACTAATATAAGAGAATATTATGATATACTAGATTACTAGGTTGTAGCAATATATATTATCTATGCAGAAAAATAGGGATAGAGAGAGTAGATGGTAAAGTTGTTAATTTGTTATGAGTTTTGGCGCCTATTCTCTACCCTTTAAATACGAAGCAACTTCATCTGTATAATTATTTTTTAAGAAAATAATTTTAAGTGATTTACTATTTTATAAAAAAAAATTAATAATTACTAAAGGTTGAATACATTTCCATATTCTTAATTTGAGGTGAAAAAAAGTACATACTTCTTATATTTTATTATTTTAATCCCATCATATCCCACCCCACCCAAAGATATGAACCAAATGTCTTTGTTGGGTAGAAAGTGAAGTATTACTTTTTGTGACTACATTAAAAATAAAAAAAAGAAAGAAAGAAAAGATATTCCATTTTGCTTAAAAATGTGAAAATGAGAAATCTAGACGAATAATAAATAGGTGGTTTCTTTTTCCCCTTAAGGTTGGTTAAAAAGCATTTTATGTAGACTTTTTAATATATAGTTGACTAGCTATAGTAATATATATTCATGATGTATGAACACAAATCAAAGAACTATAAATATAAGTCACGAAAAAGTTGCAATATATCCCTATAAATAATCAACCCATCCACCTTAAATTCTCCAAACCCCTCAAAAAAAAACCACCACCAAAAAAAATGAAGCTATTCATTCATCATCTTTTCTTCAGTGCTATTTTAGCCACAACTCTTGTGATATCCCATGCCCAAGACAACCAAAAAGAGTTCCTAGACGTGCACAACGCGGCCCGTGCTGAGGTCGGGGTGCCACCCTTGAAATGGAACCAAACACTAGCATTATACGCCCAAGATTTCGCAAACAAAGTCAAGCATACATGCGATAACACGATGTCATCAAATGGACCTTACGGCGAGAACACGGCTTCTGGATACGTGTTTACGACTACTGATGCAGTCAATCAATGGATTGGGGAGGAAACAAATTATGATCATAATTTGAATGTTTGTTTGAATGGAAAAGAATGTAAGCATTATAAACAAGTGGTATGGAAGGATAGCTTATATCTTGGGTGTGCTAATATAACTTGTGGTGCTGGTTGGCCTTTTGTTGTTTGTGAATATTATCCTCCTGGTAATGTTAATGGTGCAAAGCCTTATTAATTTTGTACGTAGTAATTAAATTTGCTTAATTATTATTAATGTAATTTTAAATTAGGTACTAGATTTGTAATGTTGTTGATCACCTCAATATTTCATTAATATGGTATGGGTTTCCATGCAATTTGATGAATTAATGAGATGAGATAATAAAATTGGCTTTCAAATTTCATACAATTTGAATTCCGAAGTATGGCGGTTGTGATTTAATATATCTGCATGAATGTCGTGGAGCATACTAAATAATGATTCGAATTTGTTTCTTATTAAGCATTGTTTAAGAAATTTACTTAACATGTTATGTATAGCTATTAACTATTATTAAGGTTCTTGTAATGTGGAAAAAATAACCCCTTTAGATCCACTGCACGCACTTTTGATTGTTATTAAAATTATGTCATATAGGATATAACCTACGAGGCTATGAGTATAATTCACACAATTATACATGTAAATGTAACGATGTATGGACATGGCCACATGAATAACAAATACACGAATAAAAGCACACGCAATATTAACAACCATATTAGATCAAATGGACATACACTTTTTTTTACTTTATATTAGATCTTATCAATATCAAGTTAGCAAACCCATTGAAAATGACAATAACAGGTATGCCTTTTTTGAATGAAATATACTAATGCCATTTAGTGTATTGATTACATAACAGGTATATGCTCCTACCAACGTATTATTGCTCGTGTGGGGTTAAGTGGTTTTAATTCATATTTTACAACCATAAATAATTATTGCATGCATGCCCCTAACAAACAAACAAGAATATATGTTTTAAAGTGCAAAAAATAAAAAGATAAATATACTTAAATCTTACGCTTCAAATCGTATCATCTCCTAAGCACTTTTCACTTTCAAGCAACTAATTAAAATTATATACAATTTGTTATGTTCTAGCAATTGACAATAGCAATTGAAAATAACAGGTGACATTAAATTTTCTCTATTGATAAAAAAATAATAAAAGTGACATTCAATTTCCTAAAAAATAATAAAGTGACATCCTTCAAAAAAAAAAATGTTACAACATTACATAACTTCATGACTAGTCTGAATTCTATTTAGTCTATTTTTGCGGCAATTTACTTCCATCGATTTGAAGCATTCATCAATCTCATTAATCGTTTCCTTTGCATGTTGACTCATCGCTTCCTTAGTACCTTGCAAGCTAAATTTTCTCTTTACTTCTTTAATTGCATCTCTTACATCACGGCTTTCATAATCTTCGCCTTCCTCTAAATTGTAGAACTCTTTATGAATCTTCTTTAACTCTCTCAAAACTCGAGCAAGTTCTCCGTACTTCTCACTTTCATCCGCCCATTTTCGTGTCCAAGATTTCTTATTCGAGGACTCATCGTCAAAGAACCCGTATGGTGCTATATCGATCAAATTTTTAGCATTAGCTTCCCACACGTCTTTTGCATCATCGACTACTAACACGACCCTTTCGTGCGACGACAAAAGATCATGCCCCTTCCTCCATGGTGTCGATAATGGCACATTCTCCCTCGTGATCACTTGTGAATTAATATACAAACGCTCGGGATCAAGTAGGTCTATCATCTTCGTTGTATATGTGAGATTTCCTAGCGTAAAAATTGATATATCGAACAGTGTACTTGCTTTCTGGAGGAACGTTTTGACATTAGGCCTCAATTTGGTTACATAAACATCCTGTAAATTAAAATTTATATATGTTAATTTAACTTGTAAAAATAAAGTTGAGAAAAAAAAAAATTATCTATATACTTGCATGATTGCATTGCATTGCATACTAAACAAAATATAGATACATTTTTTTTTTAATTTCAATTTGTTAAAACATGATTATTGAAAAATTAAAAAAATTATTAATCCATGTGATGATAATAAGTACTAAGCTACTTATTTAGTATAAAAGATAAAAACAGGAAACACTAATAGACGTACCTTGAACCCCTTTCCTTCATACACCCATTGATATACCTTTTTTTCTTCAATCAATTTGACACCAACATAATCACGATCATATGTAGTTAAATTTTGAATAATACTCGATTCAAGAATGGTATTGTCTAAATCGAGTACGAGGTGGAGCTTCTTCTTCGATAATAAAGTCTTTAAATTTTCATCACGCTCAATCGAATCGGGATGAATTGAAGAAGAAGAATTGACCGTAGCCTTTAGGTTTTGAACCGCCATTATTCTGTTGTGTTCGTTTTTCTTGGAGGAGCTTCTTTTTTTTTTGGAAGACAATTATGTAACTTTTAGTTTACAAGTATCTGGTTCCTGTTATTCTACGGAGTACTTATAATAATGCCTAAGTCGGTTAAAATAGATACATTGATAACCTACTGTTTCCTTGAGAAACAAGCTAAGATAGATAATATGGAAACAAGATTATTTTAGGAAACAATCTTACTTCGTCTTTTAGGGAATAAGCTTACATTATTAGAAAATTTCCAACAATTATTCTAAACTATCATATCATATTTTAAAAAAAAATCTAGGAAACAATTTAATTTCGTACTTTAGGGAATAAGCGTACATATTACCGAATTAATCCTAAGCTATCCTATCATATCTTAAAATTTTGGGTATAGCACCGCTTAACTGACCTATAGAATTTCGTAACTTGACCCAGGCCCAAATAAATCAATTTAAGGGACGTACTCAATATGCTTTATGGCTTTATGCTTATCTCAATTTCAGATTGCGTTGGTCGTTGGAGATATTGACATCATTTACTTATTTATTTATGAAAACAAATAACGTAGTATCATGGAAATTTTTATTGATTTTTAACAATTTATAATTTCTATACACAATTTTTTATACAGCAAGTTTCTAGTGCGGTCAGCCGCATGGTGCTTTAGGGTGCCACATTAGCAAACAACAAGTAACCCCAGACTAATCTAGTAACCCCTAACCGAGTAACTCTTGACCGACCTAGTAACCCCTGACCGTTAACCCCTGACCGACCTGGTAACCCCCGACCGACCAAGTAACTCCCGACCTAGTAACCCCTGATCGACCTAGTAACCTCTGACCGATTTAGTAACCCCTCCGACCTAATAATTCCTGATCAAGTAACCCCTGACCGACCAAATAACCCCTGCTCGACTTTGTAACCCCTGACCGATTTAGTAACCCCTGACCAAATAACCCCCCTAGTAATCCCTAACCAAGTAAGTAACCCCTAATCCTACACCACCTCAAAGCCTTAAACTCCACCACAACACCACCAACTCCCGTACCCACTGCCCACGCCACCAACCCTAGCCCGAAACACCACCAACCCCAAGCCCTGATCCACCCACCTAAAACCATTACCCAAACCCACCCTAACCCTGATTGAAACCGAACCCACACCTAAAACCCACCCTAACCACCACCAACACCAACCTTTCTCAACAGCCACCCTCAAAGCCTTAAACTCCACCACACCACACCACCACCAACACCCGTACCCACTGCCCCACATCACAACCAAAATCAGATCCAACCAAACCCACAACCAAACCATAAAAAAAAAAAAAAAAAAAAAAATTAAATCGAACAAATACCTTAAAAATTAACAATGGCTTTAAATTTCACTTCAAATATGGCTAAAAAGGTCAAATTCGACCATGAAAAATTTAGATTTAGAGTTTTCATGTCTAAATTTGGCCTTAAAAACACCACCCACAAAACCACCAAAAACCACAACCACCGACGAACGAACCACGAAGACGAAGACGACTATCGACAATGGTTGCGGAATTCGTGTTCTCTGAGAAAATGAGAGGAGAGGATCTAGCATGGGCTGAGAAGAAGAAAAGAAGATAGAGAAATAGGAGAGAGAGAAGAGAGAGAAAAAGAATTAACAAAAAAATAATTGTGGCTAGTTGCACGGTGTGGCCAGCCACATATGAAACTTAAGGTTTTTTATATAATTTTTTAAATTATTAATTGTCGAAGTTATGTGTTGACAAAGGTAAAATTATTGATCAAAAAGGTTTATTATTATTATAAAGCAAAAGAAATATTTATTTACACTTTTATTTTGTGAAATTAACATCAAAAGGGTGTGATGTGAATCGAGTAACCTTTTCTCACAACTATCTTTATTGTTTTATCTAGGTACTCTCTTGGTTTTACCTTACTCTTAAAGCGGGGGTTTTACAAGTGAGTTTTAATAATGTTTTTAGTTATTGTCTTAGTAATAATTATGGGGCCTTGGGCTTCCAAAGTTGTGTTAATTGATTAGTGAGCTATCTTGGTTCATTAATTAATTTGTTAGGGATTTTATTTAGTTTGCTTGCGGAGCAAGTAGGGTAGATTTGATTTTCCTATATATATTAGTCGTATTTCAATTATTATGGTAGGACGTTTTGTGAATTAAAGTTGAGATTTATGAGCTTTTGCTGGTTCAAACTAATTGTTAACTAGGGTTTTGGGATTGTTGCTTTCTAAGACCAAACTTAGAACTCGTTGCCTTCTAAGACTATCCTTCGAATTTCTACCATTAAAATCACTCAAATCCTTCCATCAAATAAAAACCACCAAAAATACGCATCAAATTGGTATCAAGAGCCAGGTTTGTCAGTCCTCTCAACTTACACAATCGATCTTGTTAATTAAAAAAAAAAAAAAAATTGTTTGTACTCTTCAATCGGATAAATTACACAATTCGGTTGTGCTATGCAAAAGGAACTTGTAACTCATATTCTATTTATTGGTTAGTGCTCTTAATTTGCTTGGTGAGTTAGTGGACTTGCTGCCAAACTAATGAATTAATTTTAGGAATAAGTTGTGTCATCATTGATTTGCTTTGCGATTACACTACATTGCTAGATACGTGTGTTTTCATTAAGTTTGTGGAGCAAAAAGTATCCAGAGTTTGGGAATTCAATTAATTGTTATCGTATAATTGTTAACATTGTGGTTCTTGTTTACGCGTAGTTGGGTTCTTGGTTAGCATAATATTTGTGGACATTAGTCTTATTTGTTGACGAGAAAACTTGAGGCTTGTTACTAATTTTTTGAATATTATTTCGACATCATGTGTACTTTAACAAAGGAAGATCTAGATAATATGCTTGTTGATATGATGAAAATTTTTAATGCGAGTCTTGAACGAATGAATGAGAAAATTGAGAAGAGTACACAAGAAATTGCTCAAATCAATCAAAGGGTTGAAACTTTATCTACTCAAGTGGTTGGGGAAGGTAAAATAATCAACAATGAACAAGCTAGGAGAATCATGAGAAATTTTTCTAATTGACAATGATTGAGATTCGAAGTTGTTGGAACTTCCGAAATTCACAAGTGATGGGGACGCTGAAGACTTTTTAGATTGGGTTCGTGAGATGGAAAATGTCTTTGACTACAAAGGTTTTAATGAGCAAAAAGCCTACAAGGTTGCAAACCTAAAATTGACGAGATATGCTTCTCTATGGTTTGAGAATCTATGTGCCAAGAGACTGAGAGAAGATGAGCCACGAATTAATACTTGGAGTGAGTTGAAAAGACAATTAAGGAAACGTTTCCTTCCACGGGAATTTATCCAAGATCTTAGTGTTGCCGAAGTTGAATCATCTTTAACAAAAGAATCTTAGTGTTGCCGAATACACTAAAGAGTTTGAGAAATTGTGCATGCTTTGTGATTTACAGGAAAAGGAGGAGATGAAGATTGGACGATACATAAAAGGGTTAACACTTTCGATTTCTCACAAGGTGGAAACATCAAATTTTGCGTTCTTTGTTGATGTCTTAAGGTTGGCAGAGAGATTTGAGAAACAAGAGAAAGAAAAGGAAACTTCTTTTTCAAGGAAAGGAAGTCATTCTTAAATTTGATGGTGAGGGTTTGAATCACAACAGTGCTCCTAACTCTAACAACTCGAACAACGAAGGGAAGATGATTGTTGTTACTCCCGAACAAGCTGCATAGGCGAAAAAATTTTGTTTCAAGTGCCAAGGCATGGGACACATTGCTAGAGATTGTGGCAACAAAGTGACGGTATCCAAGAATGAACATAGAATGTTGTTGGCTTATCTTGACCAAGAAGAGAAAGAGAAAGAGAGTACATGTTTACTCAACATAGAAGAAGAGTTTGATTTTGAAGAGTTTGAAGGTCAAGAAAATATTACACCTGAACCTGAACATCATCATATTGGTATCTTAAGGAGTGTTTTGCATATTGATTTTGTTCCTCTTACGACACATGAGCAAAGGGAAAATTTGTTCCATACTATATGCAAGGTGGGTTATAGGAGTTGCTCGCTAATCATAGATTCGGGATCGTGCACCAATGTTGCATCTACTAAGTTGGTTGACACTATGAATCTTTCTACTAGGGACCATCCTACTCCTTACAAGCTTAATTGGTTACATGATGGTGATGGACTAAAAGTTAAAAGACAAGCTTTGGTAAAATTTTCCATGGGTTCATATTCTGATAGTGTGTGGTAGGTGTGATATTTTACCTATGACTGCTTGTTCTATACTCTTGGGTCGTCCTTGGAAATATGATCCTACTACAAAAATGGCCAAAGAGATCTCTAATAAAAGACATGTTGGTTAATACAACAGGTCTCTTAGATATAAGAGACCAGTTACTTAACTTAACAGGTCTCTTATGTATGTAAGGGCTCACCACAATGGTTGAGAGAGAGGAATAAGAGACCCGTTGTGAGCTTAACTGCTCTCTTATGTAAGTAAGGCCCCACAATTTTGACGAAATTTAAGTGAAATTAGGGTTGCCCTTTCACTTCTCCTTCCCCTAACACTTTTACGCCGCCCGTTTCTCTTTCACTCTCCCTATTCTCTTTGTCTCTTGAGATTTTTTTTCTTATGATCTCTTTGAACAGTTCATCTCTCCTTCTCCTCAAGATGCTTAAATGTGTCCAATACCTCAGCTCATCGTCTCATCATACTCACCCACACTGGCGTACTCTTATGCATTGATCCCTCCTCTTTCTTCCTTGTCTTTTTATTTCAACAACACCGATAAAATCTCAAGTTTGAGGAAGATCAAATTTGACCATGAATTTCTAGATTTAGGTTTTTATGGTCAAGTCTAAGCAAATAAAGCCACAATTGAAATGTTAAAAAAGGTATGTTTCCAATTCTATTTCTTTCAGTATTTTAAATGCTTTTTAGGTGGGTGACAAGGAGTTTTTTTCATGGTGGCTTTAAATTTAGGCCGATATATAGTTTT